CCTGCTCTCCACGCTGCTGCTCTGCGCCCTGCTTTCCTCAGCCGTGTCATCATCCATAACGGGCGAGGTACCGGAGGGCATGGTGAAGGCCGTGGACGGCCCGTACAGCTACGACACCACGCGCCCCAACGGCCCGCGCTCGTGGTCCTCCGTGGACGAAGAGTTCTCCGCGTGCGGCGCGGGCGAGATCCAGTCCCCGATCAACTTCCCCGCCGCCGTCGGCGCCAGCCCGCTGGCCGACGGCCCGCAGCCCAAGCTCGTGCGCGCCAACTACACGCTGGGCTCGGGCAGCTGGAACTGGGCCCTGGCCTGCCACGAGGAGCGCGCGTGCGGATACACCATGTTTGCCGGCAAGAAGTGGTACGTCATTCAGACCCACTTCCACCACCCCAGCGAGCACACCCTCATGGAAAAGCGGTTCCCGCTCGAGAGCCACACCGTCCACCAGAGCGAGGACGGCAACCTCGCCGTCATCGCCACCGTCTTCGACTACCCCCCCGAGGCCGACTACCCGTCCACCATCAAGGCCGCGCATAACATGGATTATGGCGTCAACCCTTACCTCAAAGAAGTCCTCGAGGGCATCACACAGGATAAGGGCACGTTCGAGATCGACCCCATGGCCATTATTGACCCCTCCCAGGGCTTTTGCTCCTACACCGGCTCGCTTACCACCCCGCCATGCACGGAGGGCGTTACCTTCTTGATGCAGATGAACATCGCCACCGTGTCCAGGCGGCAGGTCCACGACTACGCCCTCTCCGCAGGCATGCCGTACGAGGGCAACAACCGCCCAGTCCAGCCGCTCAACGGCCGCTCCATTATGTGCTACCTGTAGATGCATGCTACCTGTAGATGCATCACCTCGCCGGCCCCCGTTTTCGCCGCCCCCCGTTTTCGCCGCCCGCGCACATGCCGCCCCGCCCCCGTACAGTATCCTATGCCGCTCGCGTCGTCAACCGTACCTACTGTACTGTATGTACGCGTAGTACGTGCGTACACCGTTGGTACGGCCGAGTACGTATCGTCGCGGGAGCCGTTGAAGGGGCGCGCGCCCTAACGCAAGAAACATACACCAGAAACAGACATCACTTTACTTGTACCTGGATTATTATTTTTTCTCCCAGTCGTAAAAAAATTCATTCACTTTGCGATTTCTACGTGTCACAAGCATCTGCATCCTCCGTCTGAGAGACAGTGCTGTCGTACGCCTCGCAATTTACACTACAACTAGTCTCGCGTCTATGACGCCGCTGTTCCGCCGCCGAACACGCGAGACCCTTTTTTTTCTTTTTTTTTGTTGGTGTTTTATTCGGCCCTTGTACCTTCGGTACTGTCTGTATCTATCATTCAATCCCCAAATCCGCCAGCTCTGTTTAACGTCTCCGTCCCCCTTACTTGCTACCGTAGTCCCGCAAAATCAGCCTACACTCCCTCGCACACACCTGCACTGTCACCACTACAAGTAACTGTATCGCCGGACGCGTGGCCCAAAACATGCCGCACTAAGCACTCGCGACCGTGTACCCTGCCGCCCCCATTGCCAGCTTCCCATCCCGCCAATCCAGCCTACTGTACAGTCTGACCCACACCTGCACTGCCGCCCCCGCCCATCCGTATCGAACCCCTTCCCCCCCTCCCGCAACAGTCGATGAGCTGTGTAGAAAACAAAAAAGACGTTACGAAATCACTGAATGCGGCCAATTTGGGATGTTTTATGTTCCGGAGGAAATTATCCCAGCTGCATTCCATGCAAAACCTTGTCATGAAACGCTTGCTCACCTTCACCCCCGGTACTGCGAATCGAATCTTTCACACCGTTTTTCACTATTCTAGTTCTGTCACTTTTTTCTTTCACCTATTGCATTCGACTTCATGTTAATTCAACCAATAAGGGAGCAGCACTTCTGTCTGCATATTCTTGTATTAAAACGTGCTACTTTGATCGTTCCGTTGCAGGATAAGCAGGAGACATTTGCTAGTCGCTCATGTTCGACTGCCCATCCCCCCGAATTGTGCATTTCAGAATAATCAGGATGACACCGGACTACAATAATCGAGCGATTCGAGCAGCAAAGAAACTGGATGGGGCTAGAGTGCGGAACAAGGTTCGCAATGGGTTCGAGAGGTTCGTGTCTCGCCTTCACCCGCTTTAACAAACAAGAGATGCAGTGACGTATAAGTGCATAATAGCACAACTCAATAACGGTCGTCACACATCCTGCAAGAGGTCACCACGACATGCCTAATGGAATGCGTTGTGAAGATGTCAATACGAATTCGAATACAAAAACAATGAGCTGGGACAACTGCAGACGATCGGCTTCCGCAGTATCAAGGACTGTTTTCCAACTTCTCCCCTTGTAGCCAAATTTTTCTCACAGTGTTTTGTATCTAACATGTTGCAAAAGTCAAAGCGTAGTTCACCAGTGAGAAGAGTCATTGGGAGGGCATCTTTCAGAGAGCTGTCCTTTTTCCTCAGAAGATCTGCAAGGTTGGAATGTCCAAGATATCTTGTCAATAGCTCCAGTCTGAAATTTGAAGCGGACACAGCTACCAATGTGTTATAATTACCTTCAACCCGACCACACGGAATGAAGGGGGGTTTGAGGTAAGGGAGAGCTCGCTGGTTGGATACCCTTGAGAGGTAATTATGGTACAGAAAGGACTCGAAAAAGAGGGAAGGCACACGTGGTCCGTGACGCGCAGCCGGTCGGAGGTGCTATACCCGAACGGCCGGTCACGGGTGAGAAGCCTGAGCGCTAAAGGAAACCGAGATCTGTGATAGATTAGTGCCGTAAAGGGAAGGGAGCTGAGTGTGCCTCCTCTTTACTGGGATGGGCAGGTGTCCCCGGTCTTAACCCGTAAGTGACACACCAGGAAACCTGTCCCGCTACTGTAGCTGTTACTTACTGTATACCAGCTACTGTACACTATTACTTAATTTGTGCCATTGAGTAGTACTTAATACCAAACCACCGTACGGATTATACACGTGTGCCCGTGGCCACGATTCTCGCCTGCGGTTGTCCCACGTTGGACCCGTGAGGTACTACTGTAGACGGCGGCGGGCGCGCGTGCTCCCGCTCGCTACTGTACCACTCGTCCCTCCTTTTGGTCTTCATCTTCCCCGGCCGGGGTAGTAGTGATACACAATTCTACAACAAATATCACCACGAATCGACTTGTAGATGGAATTGTTCGGCGTCGAAGGAGAAGGAAATATATCCTTAGAGTCCACAGCAAGGCACAAATTGGTATCCCTGTCCAGTTGCTTTGATTATGTTTTAGAGATAGCTTTTCCTACATAGATGAATTCAAGAGCAGTAAATATATCTGCAGTCCGTACATCTTTGACCGGGCGCTGTGATCTGTGATACATCCGAGAGATGGCATGATAAATAGAGCTGTTTTTAATCTCACAGATAAGCAGATCAGTGGGAACTCCAAGTGGCCGCAGTCACCTCTGCGAGACGTATTAGCAAATAGTAGCGTACTGAGTTTATGTTGTTTCTTGTCTGTCGGTCCTGGATAAACAACTGTTTTCCCAAGCTTGTTGCGCTTGCCCACGATGTTAACCTGTTCAATGAGGTCACATACATTGCGTTCTAGTGCCTTTTGCTTCACATGGATTGCATAAACTGAGTGAAAAGGAGAGGCAGCAGTTCCGATCCATCCAAGCGAGGTATTGGTCGCGGCCAATCCCATCTTATCGATCTGATTGAGTGATTAGTTAAGTTGCTCACGGCGATGTCTGTAGAGGGTATATTCAGTGACAGCATCCATCTTATCATCGGCGTCAGTTTCTATTAGTGCAGTCGCCATTCTGGACAGTGTTGATTGTAGGATAAGTCCTCTCATCTCTGAGTTGGGTGAGAGCCGGAGGCTTCGCCGAGGGAGCACGCCACGCGAACAAGCGGCGAGCCAAATAAGCCGGTACGTACGAACTCGCGAAAATGGAGTGGCTCACTGACCGGTTACGCCCAGTTGCTCCGTGGTGCGTAAACGGAGGCGAACGGTAGCGACCTACACGCCAGGGCGGGTAAAAGTACCAAACGGTCGTAGATTAGACGCAAAAGGGACGGGGGCGAGCTTGCCCCAGTTTACTGGTGGAAACGGGTGTCAGGTCTTAACCTCTCAGAGAGACGCCTTGGATACCTGTCCCAGTACAGTACTTGCCGCCTAGTGCGTGCCGGGCACTGTACACAATTAAAAAAAATAGCTCCAGAAATACTAACTACCGCGCGGACGCTGCCACTACACGTGTGCGCTGCCATACACGCGTAATAGCTACCAACTACAACACGGACCACACGTGTGCTATTGTACACGCGTAATACCCGTAGACTACTGCACGGACCACACGTGTGCTATTGTACACGTACGCCACGCCACGACCGATCGGTACACGCACGCGCTCCCTACACGTCGGCACGACCGCGCACGTGTACACTGTCCCGACAGCCAGATTCAAAACCGCCGCGCTCGTCGGTTCTTATACTACATTTATATCGAAGAAGCGTAGTTTTTCAGGTCCATGCTTCACATCTCCAAACTTGATTCATTTGTCAAATGTTTGTATAAAATGTTTAATACGGTCGCCGTCACCTGCCACTTTCTGGTCATCGACAATTTTTGCAACGGATAACACCATCCTTATTTTTTTCTGAAAGAAAAACTGAGGTACCTGTGCAGACTGCCTGAATCCATTGTCAAGCATGATGTAGTCTGACTGGTTTTTGCATTTTGCATTAGCCTTGACAAGCCCACATGCAGCTGTTGGTAAAAGCCATAGATGAGAAGATCTCATCTTTCTTTCCTTAAGCGGGCGCGCATAGACATTTCTTTGAGCCTCTCCTGTCTGTGAGAAGGCTGTTTTCACATCTGCTCTTAATTTCCCACTCGACTAGAGATGCAATTGAATCAGGGATCCTACGTTCTGTATGCGGACGTGTCTTGCAATCTTTGGTTAAGCCGTTCTTCATATAATTCTCATTTCGATGTGGTGCGATACGTGCTTTTGCCTTCAGAGAGCCGTCGTCATTAGCTTTCACTTTGTACAAGGTGTGGCTGTTGATGACATTTGAGTTCGGTGGAACTTCATTATGTAATACGGGTCGTATGGTCTTGACAAGGTCTCCCCTTCTGCGTTGTAGGCTTTGATTAAACGGTATTGGTCAAATCCTTGCGCGTGATGCCTTAGAATAGATTGTTCCCAAAATGGTCGAGCATCGATGACAGAACAGTGTTATCAGTGCTATTGAATTGTAGTTCAGCTGGAAGTGAAGTACAACAAGCATTAAGTGTACCACGAATCCACTAGACCTCCATTGCCATGTCTAGGATTTCTTTGTTTCCGTCATCGGAATGTATGTTGAGACGACCATCTTCGCCTGCTGAATGTGTAGTATAACTGCCCGAACCGCTATTGTACCGGGCGGGCGTCGGCAACCCCGCCCGACTTCAGTAGTAAGATGTGAACCGACACGGTGGATACGTAGCCAGCACGTGTCTAAGTGTCCACGTGGGCGCCCATGTGTAGTTTGTGGAACCAGCTCGTACGGGTGTACGCGTGGTGCGCGACCGGTCGGTGGGTTAGTACAACAGTTCAATTTTAGTTACCATAAGCTACAGTAAGCTGGATACAAGAAGTACACCTACTATAGCCTGTCTGGAGCCACCACCCCGATACGGGGTATAGGATAGGGGGCTGCGGCCTGGAGGTAGATTGAGGCAAGCACGCCTCCCCTTCCTTCCTACCTGTGGGATAACGGGTACCAACCGGTGTCGGTAAACGTTACGACCCGGAGGGAGATCCCGTAGAGGTGGCCGGACGATACTGGAAAGGTAGGGGATAACTCAGCTTGTACACGGGGTGCACGTACGGCCTCGAGTGAGAGGTGGCGTCGGAGTGGCCACGTGTACCACCGTTCGTATTACGTCCCGATAAGGTACAGTAGACTAGGAGGTCCTACTGTAGGGGCGTAGAAATTAGTGTAATAGGAGTGTCAGCCCTGGGAGTCCCAGCTAGCACACGTGGTGCGCGCTCTGCCACGATTACAGGTGGCAGGAGCGCAGCCACGTGTGTCGCTGTGCAGATCACTCCCCTGTGGAGTACAGTAGAGGTACTCCACTGTAGTGGTCCAAAGTAGAAGTGGATCAATACTGTACTGCCCGGCCGCCGGAGGCCG